GTGGTTCAATCCCCCAGCACCACATGCCAGCCAGCCCCACCCTCTGGTGGGCTGAGCTGGCTACACACACACTAAATAAATAAACAAACAAATAAATAAATAATTTTTTAAAAATGATTGTTATGGTTTGTCTCCAGATGTCCCCCAAAACCTCATGTAGTCATGGGGACAGGCTTTTTTGGAGGCAGCTAAATCTAGAGTTTGTGACTGATTCATAATGCAATACTGGAATTAAGGGTCCTAGGATCAAGGCTGGGTGATTATTGGATCACTCTACTGATTGGATTTGCACTGCCCTAATCTCAGCAGTCTAGATAAGATAAAAGGGGCAGGAAGAGGCTTGTTATACCCTTTTTACTCTTATAGCAGTCTTTTGCCTCCACGAACTGTTGCCTCTCGGCCATGCTACTCTGCCTTGAAGACAGCTGATTATAGACTGAAAACTTCACAAATAGTGAGCTAAATAAAAACCTTTTTCCTTTTAACTTTGGGTGTTAGGTATTTTGTCCAACAAGAAAAATAACTAAGACAATGATTAAAGAAAGAAAGAAAGAAAGAAAGAAAGAAAGAAAGAAAGAAAGAAAGAACTAACCACACTGTAATGAACATTATCCAGACCAGTTACATCCCTGGTTCGAGCACTCTAATGCCACTGCCCTCCAACCACTGACACTAGATGATTTCTCATTAGTTCCTGCCTTGCTCTCTGGACCCTAGACCCCTGAGAATAGGCCCTGTTTTATTTCCTTCCTATAACTACAGTCATGTCCAACAGTGCCTGGTAACACTGTTACAGCACTCAAGGGGCTAGGGAAAAAGCTCAGTAGAATAAGCGCTTGTCTGGCGAGCGTAAGGGCCTGAGTTCAATCCCTGGTTTCACCAAAAAAAGAAAAAAACAAACCAAAACAAAACAAAACCCCAAAAACCCAGCACTCAGGAGGGAAACTTTGAAGAAACAGACAAGTAACCAGTGGGGTCTTCCAGGTGCCACAGCCCCCACCACCACCACTGCAGGTATTGTCACTGATGCCCTCACCTAACAGCTGTTTGCAGAGTCCTTTGAATGTGGTCATCCTTGGGCAGCACATGCCCACACACGCTGTGGGCAGCCACATAACCTGGACGCTGTACAGTCAGTTCTATCTCTGCCCACTGCTCAGGGACCTGGGGAAAGAAGAGGATGGAGGAGATACTCCCACATCCGGGGGCTCAGGTCCAGTCAGCTATCACGGGTCTGACCTGAGGCTCCACACGCAGCAGCAGGTCATAGTCCATGGCTTTTGGTAAAGAGGTCACCAGGAACTCCAGTGTCTGACCTTCCCGCAACTGCACAAAGCCTGGCCCAGTCCAGGAGGGAGTCTCCTGGGTGACTGCCAAGCGCTCCACCACATTGAGCACCTGAGAGACAATGGAGACAGCAATGGGGGCTCAGGTGAGCAATTACCCTTTCTGCTATCGCTAGCCCCAAACCCTATTTCTCCTGCCAAGACCTCACCCAAGTACACCACCCCCTACAAGGACCATCCACCTCTCTAGCCATCCTCCCTACACACGAGCCCCCCCACCTGCCCTCTGGCATCCTCAGCCTCCCAAGTTAGGTGGTCCAGGAACGGCCGGAAATAGCCAGGCTGCACTTGCTCACAGCGTCGCCCGACCATGTGTTGGTGGCAGCGACACTGACCTGTGGCCTCATCACACCTAAGGAAAGCTGTGGTTACTCAAAAAGGAATTCCTCTCTAAGACCTTTCCAAGACCCTCCCAAGACCCATTTAAGCACTTACTGAGGATCCAAGGCACCACCCACATCACAGTTGCAAGGTCGGCAGCCAAGCAGGTCATGGCTCAGACCCCAGTGGCCAGGCTGGAAGAAAAGGGTGGCTAGGGACCAGAAAAAGACCCCCTTGCCAACCAGCAGGAAATTCAACCACATCCCTGGCCTCTACCACCCCTTAGCGAACACAGGGCCCCCACACTGCTGGTGTATGCACTTGGCCTGCTGGTGTATGCACTTGGCCTTCCAGACCTGAGGCCTCTCAACCACCAGTCATGCAATCTGAAGACAAGTCCAAGACCCCAGAACTCCAGGTCCCTCCAGTCGCACCAGGCAGCGGTCGCAGCTATGTCCAGTCACCAGCCGCTTGCAGAAACAGTTTCCACTATTGGCATCACAAGGAGTGGCCCCAGGCACTGTACCTCGAGCATTACATTGACATCCTGCAAAGAAAGAGACCGATCCATTAGCCAAATTCAGGTTCACCTCAGTCAGGAGTGAAAAACCAGGGGTTAAAAGTCAGACCAGGAATTAAGGCAGAAGGTACATACGCCGGCAACCTAGAGGGTCACTAGCACTGAGTCCAAAGAAGCCATCACGACATCGCTGGCAACGAAGGCCCACCACATGTTCTTTGCAGCGACACTGGCCTGAGACAAGCCCCAGGGCAGCATCATCATGCGAATCACAGAGACCACCATCTTGGGAACCCATAGGGTCACAATCACAAGCTGAGAGCAAAAAGTGGTACAAGGTTAGTCTCACTAAATTAGCCCAACATCAGTCCTCTCCTAAGGCACCACCCTGGATTCCTGGTCTGGTTCCACACCAGTCCTCTACCCCAATTCCCTATAACCTAGACAGCAATCTGGCTTTCCAGTTCCTGCCCCAGGCTCAGCTCTCCCTCCCTCATGCCCAATCCCAGCCTCACGGCGGCACACAGCTGGGTCCCGCAGGTCCTTCATTGGATCCCGGTAGAAGAAGGGTCGGCAGAGCTCACAGTGATGTCCAATTGTGTTGTGCTGGCATCTGTCACATACGCCTCCACTCACATTGCCCGATGCCAGGTATATGGCCATGTCAAAATGGCAGCTGTGAGTGTGTCCATGGCACTCACACTCTGGGGGGAGGGATGGAGAGGCCACATGAAACAGGTCTTTGGGCTAAGGGGCAGAGAGAGATCTAATGCCACTTTAGATCCCTGGTACAGGTCAGAATTTTTAGGTGGCACCTTAAAGGCTTCAAGGCCTCAACATCATGCTAGGTGGCATCCTACACAAAGCAGAATACAGAAGAGGGCTTGAGGAGATCATCAGGTATATCAAGCCTGGATATACACTGGGTTGCTCAATTAGCTATCAGTTTTACCTAGGGCATAGAAAGGCTGCAGCGTTTTGGGGATAAGAAGGACAGGGCCTCACTCACTCCTACAGGCGTGACTATGGCCATCCTCAGCTGGATGCCAGGGCAGGTCATGATAGAAATCCTGACACTGCTCACAGTTGAGTCCACGAGTGTTATGTTTGCAGACACAGGCCCCATGTACCTATGGGAGTGGGCAGGCAAAGTGTTAGTACCATCCAACCACACCTCCCTCTCCTACCAGCCCGATTCCAGCCATTTAAAGCCCCTCACCATGCCCTCAGCATGGGCTGGTGCCCCTGGGGCAGGTGCACACTGTGAGGCATGTCCGTAGCAGAAGCAGTTGCCCCGTATAACCAGCTCATAGAGGGCATAATAGTACTTCTCTCGGATCTCACGCCGTGGGTCAAGCAAGTGGTCTCCCAGTGTGTGAAGCCGAGTTAGGTTCACTCGAAGGTTGGTTATCTTCAACAAGTCTGTGTGAAGGGAAGGGTGGAAGCCATCTGACCTGGCAAGCCCTTGCCATCCCATACCCACCCAGGGGCTGCAGCTGCCAAGGTCACCTTGGGAGACCTCCTGTCTACTGCCACCCAATCTAAACTAGGCTTGGCACCAGCCCCAGGAAGCATCCAAAATAGTTCCTGATGCCCCAAATAGTCCTTGACCAGACGCTGGGACTGTGCCAGTCTCAAAGAATGGAGCACTCACTCTGGATACGTGGGCTGTAGGGGTCTGGGATAGGGATGGCAGGGTCTAGCACACGATAGATGACCTGGAAAGGCAGGGAGTCCATAGAAATACTGGCCCTTGCACAGGCCCATTATCCTCCCTCCCCACTTAACACCCTGATCTCAGCCCTCACCTCGCCTTCAGTGGATGGCTCGATTTCTGAGTAGCGAGACTCACAGACTACATCATCCCAGTGCCGCGGAGGGGCTAGTGGAACACCTGGGAAGTCAGTCCCACAGTCATAGGAGAAATATCGGTACACATGCCAGGTGTGGCCAAAGTCTGCTGAGCGCTCCACCAACATGGCAGCAGGACGAAAAGTCTGGGTGGGGGCACAATTGATCAGCAGGCACCAGAATCCAAGCCTAGTCCAGGCTGGCCAGAACCCTGCTTGGCCTGGGATTTCCCTCTAGCAACTCACAAACAGGGGGAAGTGACCCTGAAAGCCAACAGATCAGGAAGGGCAGCTACTTCTGCTGAGGAGGCTCAGGGGTTATAGGTCCCAGGGAGACAGAACCTGACCCAGTCTAGGATTGGGGCAGTAGAAGAGAATGTGAAAAGGCCAGGAAGTGTAGACATGGAAGGTGGGAGGATAAAAGAGCCCCCTGTGCATGTAAGTACATGAGCTCAGGAAGCCTGGGTTAAGGAGCTGGAGCAATGAGGAAAAGGGGAGTGAAGCAGGGTGACTGACACAGATTCCCAGATATGCAGGTACCTTGAAGGTCATAATGAGGTGTGTGAAATGGAACTCAGCTTCCAGGTCCAGTTGGATAGTGACCGTGGAAACACCTGGGGTAGAAGTAAGAGGTCAAGGACTCAGACTTCTGGTAGGCATCCCTGCTCAATCCACGCCCACCCACAGCCTTACCATTCTCTGACTGCCACCAGGCTGCCCGGCGCTGTGGTGCAAAGCTGGTGACTACATTCTGGATACGATGGCTGTGCAGGTTGTCTGGAGCAGAGAAAGGGCGCCGGGAGTCACACAGGAAGCACTTCTTCTCATCCTGGGTTGGGTCGGGGGTCAAAAATCAGTGCCTTAGCCACTGCCAGCCCTACCATGACCCAGCCTTTCACCCAGCCCCCAGCAGCACCTGCAAGTGACTGACAATGCAGTAGGGCTGGGGGCCACGAAGGCCACAGGTAGATGAGGCAGTCAGTCTGTCGGCACGGCCCACCAACAGGTCACCTGTGGCTGGGTAGCAGCTTCCTCGCGAACAGCCAGGTGCATCCAGAGATGGGGCCTGGGCCAGAGTGGTGGCTATCACTAGAGAGAGGGTCAGCCGGTTCTACTCTGTTCCCATCTGGAAGCCCTCATCCCATGTGCCCCAGAGATAACCACCCGGGACCACCATCACATCCCACACCTTGGGCCCTCACCAGGCCCCCTCACCGCTTAGAAGCAGGCCCAGTCGAAAGTGCCAGGGCACAGGCTGTCTATGCCGGTCCCTCCCTTGGTCCCCTGAGGCCCACTCCATCCTGAAAAGGAGGGAAACAGAAATGAAAAGAGATGAAATGTTGGGCCCAAGTCCACCCCTTCCCTTCAGGGTCTGGTGCTGACCCTGCCCTTGTGGGTCCTGGGCTGGTTTCCCTCCAGGGCCTCAGCCTGTCTTAGGTTGGGTCCAGTCCTCCCTCTCAGCTCCCAGTGGCGACTTTGAGCAAAGTTAGGAAGCACGGCAAAAGGGAAAGTACGGAGTGGATCCCCAGGCAGGAGTACAACATGGGACAACAGAATCCAAGGTTTATTTTGGCAGAGAGTTTGTAAGATTCAACCCAGAGTTGGCTGGCTCCAAGGCAGGGCACATGGCAAAGGGCGTGGCAGAGAAGAAACAGTTCTTGGCAAGGCAGGCCCCGGAGGCAATCGAGGCAGAAGAAAGGATACATATACCTTGAGGGCCTGTCTACAATGGCCTACCTTTTGCTACAGGCTTTCTCTCCCAACATTGTACCCAGCTATAAACCCATCAGTGGACTAATCCAGTAGCACACTCCTATGATCCAGTCACCCAAAAGCCCTACCTATGAGCTCCTGAGGCTTCGCAAGGACATCCAGATATAAACTATAACAATCCTCAGGTGGGGACCTGTTCAGGGACTGGGAAAGGTGGGGGAGGGGTATGCTTTAGCAGAAAGAGAGAACACCAGATTGGAGACTTGGAAGAAGCACATAAGCAGTTTCTCTGGTCTTTGACTTTTGGAATACAGGGCCAAGGAGCTGATAGCCATTGTGTCTTGTGTCACCTTGGAAATCACTGCCAATCCAGCCAGTTGATCTCAGGGGTGCAGCATCAGTAGAGAGGTAGAAGGGTACAAACAGGGGCACCAAATTTCCCTATTCAAGGTTACAGGGAGGTGTTGTTTTGTTTTTGAAACAGAGTCTCACTATGTAGCCCAGGATGGCCTCAAACTGATAGCCATCCTCCAGCCATAGCTTTCCAAGTGCAGGGATTACAGGCTTATGCCACCAGCCTGGCACTGGGGAATTCTGCAGGCTATAGGACATGATAGACCCTGAGAAATATAAACAAAGGCCACACCCTGCAGGAAGCAAGGCTCTGGAGAGCTCAGCTGCTCCTACTCACCCCAGCAAATAGGCATGAAAATTGTAGTCAGTTTCCCAGTACAAAAATGGGCACCCAGCTTTGGTGGTGGGGCCAGGGAGATAGCTCAGAGGCATAAATGCCTGCCTGGCAAGCAAAAGGTCCTGAGTTCAACCACTGGCGCACACACACACACACACACACACACACACACACACACTAATCAATAAATACTGGGCTTGGTAGTGTACACATGTAATCCTAGCATTCAAGAGGATGAGCAAGATCATTGGGAGTTCAAGACCAGCCTGGACTATATAGTAAGTTTGTGACCAGCCTTTAACTACATAGTGAGATGTGAGATGTTGTCTCAAAAATAAAATAGAGGAGGAGGAGGAGGAGGAAGGAAAGGAGAGGAGAGAAGAAAAGGGGCTAGTGATATAGTTCGTGGTATAGCACCTGCCTGGCAAGCACAATGTCCTGAGTTCAATTTCTGGTGCCAAAGCATAAATAAACAAATAAAATTTAAAAATTAATTAAAAGATAAGGGGCATTGGTAGCAGCAAGTAAATCCAAATCTTATTGCTATTTATCCGCTCCAGACCTTCCAACCCTCCAGAAGCACAGGAGCCTGTGGATGGAATGTGAGCAACTGGGAGGCACCCGCCCCACCCAGGCCCCTGGGACCACGGTGGGAGGGGGTAGCGTTGTCCCTAGAGTCCTTGGGTATTTGAGGCAGGCTTGCTTTGAGCCATTGCTGTGAACATTACTTCTGGGGCCAGACAAGCCTTTTTTCTTTTGAAGCTTGGGGGGAGGAAGGGGGACAGGGGGAAACACCCTGGTACAGGAAATAAGGGAAGAGCACTGGGGTGGGCTGAGCCTTGGAGTGGCCTCTTTGGAGTAGTCTCTAGTGAACTCCAGGGTCTCATCCAGGGATCTCTGGGATGCTAGAGATGACTCCAAACTTTAGATTACTAGAGACTGAGGTCTGTTATGGGTTCTCAAACAGAAGTCAGACCAGAAGCTCTCAGAGACCTAGAAATGCCCGGGACCCAAGTTCGTTCCCAGTGCAGGGGGTCTCAGTAATTTCTGGCTTCCCAAATGGATCCCAGTAATTGGGATCCCGCATGAGCCCCCAAATACCATGCTGAGAGCCCCTGCACTGGGAACGAACTTGAGTCCTGGGCATTTGTAGGTCTCTGAGTGCTTCTGGTCTGGCTTCTGTTTAGGGACCCATCATAGTCAGTCAGGGACGCTAGATGGCTTCATGGAGTTACGTGATCTGTTTTCTCAAGATCAGAGGGCCAATGGGGATATCAGGAGAGGTACACAGGGATTAGTCAGGGTCAGCAAGCACTCAGTAGACTCTGGTTTCTCAAGTTTATGAGAGGGGACCCTGGAATATATCTCAGCCACGTAAGTGCCTGCCTGGTAAGGGAAAGGTCCCGAGTTTGATCCCTGGTACCAAAAAAAAAGAAAGGTTAGGAGATGCCTACATCAACTCTAGGGTTTAACTGAGTCACCCAGGTGGCTCCAGGGTTCATAGCAAGTGGTATATGTAGTGGTACCCACTGCATGCACTCAAGCAGCCCTGTTCCAGGGCCTACAGGGTGGAAGCCCTTTCTCAGTTCCTGCTCATTCAGTCCTAATTGGTGTTCTAACCCTGGAAATCAGGTCATATGAACAAGGCTCTGACCCCTGTCCCTAAAAAATCTATCACAACTCTTAACTCTGACCTCAGCCCTAACTCTATGAAACCTGATCCTAATTGTCTTATTTTTCTCATTGCGGGGACAAAATAGCCAACATCCAAAGTTAGAGGAGGATGGGGCCAGGGAGATGCCTCAGTGGAATAAGCACTTGTGCTTCCCTGTCAAGCACAAGGGCCTGAGTTCAATCCCTGGTTAAAAAAAAAAAAAAAAAGTTAAAGGAGGAAAGGTTTATTATTCTGGCTCACATTTTGTAGAGGTTTCCATTCATATTTGGCTAGCTCCAAGGCAAGAGAGGGTGCCAGAAGAAATAGAGCTCCTGGCAGGCAGAAGACATTAAAGCAGCTAGCAACAAAGTACCAGTGCAGCAAGATACAACCCCAGCCTTTTTTTTTTTTTTTCTTTTTTCTTTTTTGGACTTTTTAAGACAGGGTCTCACAGCAGGCTGGTCTCAAACTCATAACAATCCTCCTTCTTCAGTTTCCTGAGTGCTGGGATTACAGGCATGTGCCATCATGCCCAGTCCCGCAGCCCTCTTTGTATCCCTTTTATTCTAACCAGGCTACCCTACCCACCCTTAGAGCAGACAGAACTCACATCAAGGGCAGGGCACCCTTAATCCTAGTATTGCACCATGAATCCCTCCCAGCACCACATCTTTATTCTCAGCATCACACACTGTAGATGCAGCTACCTCCCAAAACTCCTGCCTATGTTCACATGAAGTTTTGAATATCTAGATAAGCCTTAACACTACTCAATAGCTTTCCACTTGTTCTGAACCTTACCCAGATCCATACAGAATCTGAACCTAGCCCTGTCTCTTATACAACATCCCTGTTCTGACCCTGACTGTCCTATATGATAGTACGCTACCTTCTGCCTGCCTCCCATTCATACAACAATGCACCCTCCAGGCTGGTCCAGAGGCTTTGAATCTTCTTCAGTAGCTCTTGGGCTCTGTACTGGCTCTCCTGCAGCCTGAACCATGGCTATCAAGCCATATAGGCCCTTCTGCTGCCCTGTCATACCTACTTGGGCCATCTGTAACTTCAGCAGTAGGACTGAACCTGAAACCCCATCTGACTGACATGGATAAATCACTGCCTAAAGGTCCTATGGGGCAAGGGTTTTAGAATTGAGATACTGCCCAAATCAAAATTTTCAGGAATTTTGCAAACTAGTTGTTGAAGGTTGTATAGACCAAAATAAATCATGGTAGTTTTTTATATAATACAAATTGATAAAGGCTACTAATAAGCAGGCATAGCAGCACAACAGGTATAATCCCAGCACTCTGGGATTAATGTATGAGATGTTTTTTCTAAACAAAAACCGGTTTTTAGGTTTAACAGTGGTGGTGTCCTTTTGAGATACATAAGTGGGTTTTAGGTTGCAGTTTGGCCCTCCCTAAAAGGCTCACCATCATTGGCCTAGAGTCTTTCCTCTCCTGCTACCCATCCATCTGTCCCCCCTCCCTATGACTCAGCTTGGACTCTTGTGTCCTGCTTTGGCCAGATGAAGGCCTTGGCATGGTGTAGTTACCAGTATAATATTTCCAGGTGTTCACATTGTCCCCTGAGCCACAATTCTCTTTTGGTCAATCTATTCTATGGCCTGTGGAATGTGAACTAATGTAGCCATTTTCCTTCTATAGGGAGATAGAGAATTAGCCTAGCCATAATTTCTCACTCAGGGAATATACCTATTATGGTTTATATCTAGATGTCCCCCCAAAGCCTCACATGATTATAAGGGCGATGTTTTCATAGGTGGTTGGATCTACAGTATGTAATGCTGGAGTTGATTCAGGGTACAATGCTATGATCAAGGGCAATAGGATTAAGGATGTGAGTGCTAGCTGCCCTAAGTAGATTGGATAAGAGATAAGGAATAGAAAAACTGTAGTGGTCCTTTGCTTGCTTTGCTACCTTCTGCCTGCCATAAACTGCTTCTCCTCTGCAATGCTACCCTGCCTTAGAGAAAAACAGAAGATAGCAGAGTGATAAGCAGTAGAGAAAAAGCCTCTCTGAGAATCACCATTCAGATTCTAGAATATAGCAACATGAGGAAGACATGTGCAACCGCATTAGAGCCAAGCAGTGGTCCCAGCAAGAGAAGCAGATAATGAGATAGATTAGGTGGAGGGAAAGCTGGCTGGGGAAATAGGCATGACCTGTTGGCCACAGGATGCTGTACAACTGCATAGAACAGTCTGCAAGCCCCTGAACGTAGACTTCTCATGAGAACTTGAGCAGGTTTTCAGTGGTTTAGATCTGATTTCACCCTGGGGCATGGGCTCTCTGGGCAGCCTCTCAGAACCCATATTCAGAAGTTCTCTCAGATTTCCTGGAGATTTAGACAGCATACAAAGACTCATTGTGCTGGAGAGATAGCTCAGTGATTTAAACACCT